AACCACAGCCCGTCGTCCACTGCGTCTTCTCCATCTGGTATTCAGTCCGGTCAGGCGCGTTTCGCAACGACGAGGCCGCATTCGTACCAACCACCCAAGTCGTATCAAGCATTCGTGCCCAACGATGATCTCGCCGTTCGTTATGGCGCTGGGCACTCCGCGGCAACTAAGGTGGCCAAGGTTGATCCTACCACCATCCCTCTTCCTCTGCACTCTCCGCCGACATCTACGGTATCTTTTTCCTCGCGATCGTCAGCGTCACGTTCGTCGGCGTCGTACGAAACCCAAGAGTCGGGCGGCAGTCGGAGCACAGCACCGACATTGCACTCGCACGTCAATGGCCAGAGCCACGGGCGGCAGGGGAGCAGATCGTCCCAGCCTCGGGCCAGCCTTGATGGACTCGGCTTCCGCGGCGACCCTGCTCCAAGAGACGCTGCGTCCGCGAGCGAAGCAGAATCCGGCGATGACTCTGACGAAGAACCACAACACGTGGACGCGGGCGAGGACGACGCTGAGCGTAAGCTGAAGGCGTGCGACCGAAGATCTGGGTGCGAGCGGGGCGCTTGGATGGGCGCAGGGAAGGGCGCGAGCGGGGCGCGCGGGGATGGGCAGGAGTGGGAGAGTGGGGGGCATGTACATAGACATGAAATATATTTCGTCTGGACCTAGCTCTTCGTGTGTGTGCTCGTTGTGTTTGCGCGTTTGCGCTGGTGCTCGCGGGTGGCTGTGCGGCGCGGCGCTGTGGGACATGGCGAGCCGACGCGGCAGTTGGGGGCGCTCGGGTGTTGCCTGCGGACGCCCCCTGCGCGACGCAGGATCTCGCTTGGACGAGTATCTCGGGGGCGAGTTGGATCTCCCAGATGGAATGACGGACTCTGCGTCGATGGTGGGCACTAGTAGGCGCTGTGGGCTCGGACGTACAGGGGGCAGGGGACTTGGGGGAGGGGAGGAGGAAAGGGACCCGGATTCGCACTCTGGGGCTCGCTCGAGGGGTCTCAAAAACTCGTGTAATTGTGTCAAGGACTACGGACAATATTACTACGTCGCACACGCAGAGAGCAGCCGCAAAGACGGCCTCGCGCACGCCCAGGACACTTCGCGCACTCAGATCGACGCGGGCGCCTATTCTGGCACCAGTCGAATGTGCGACTCTCGACCGTCGACGCCGCCGCCCCTTCTGCGCTGCTACGCCTGCTCAATCTTGCTGTGTGTGGACCATAACGCCCTCCCTGCGCTCTCTGACGTCGACTAGGCCTGTACTAGCCGCAAAGTCAGGCGGGATTTGCGGGAGCGGGACACGGTACTCACTTACTGTCTGTATGTGCGTGCGCAAGGTTGCGCTGATCCGCCACGTCTTGGATGCCGGTGGCTCGTTGTGCGCGCGCGCGCCGGGCTGGGGACTTCGCGAGAGAGCGTTTGCCACTTCGACGGCCGCGCGAGCAGTCGAACATGTGGGCGAGAGAGACGTCTGTTGCGGCCGGAGAGCGTCCCGGCGTGCTCTATACCGCCCGCGCGGGCGTACCGTGGCATCAGCTCGCCGATGCCGACATTGGGCCGGCGCTGGTATCGTGACAGGGAACGCTCCGGTTCGTTCGACGCTCGTAGTCGTCTAGCGGCGCACCTGTGTCTTGAGTACGTAGTTAGCGTGCTGTAGGCCCACGACCGAATAAATGGCTTACCGGCTTCATCAACTGCACTCCTCTGACCGCATTCGAGACTCCGGGAGGCGAAGCGTACCTTCCAAGTCCCACACTGGACGCTGCATCTCTCCGGTGGGTTCCTTGGCTTTGGCAGCCCCTAGAACGCTTCCTGCGTGTATGGTAACGCGCGTAGACCCCAAACGCTTCGCGAAATGACATCGAGGAGAGGCCGGGATGCTCGGCGCGCTCCCCCGGGACATGGGCGCCTATTCCGACAGGACTCGGAATTGCGAAGTCCCCGACCGCCGCTGCTTTCCATTCGACCGCGACCTTCGACGTCTGCTCGCCCTTGCGCTGAGGAGTCCCTCCGCAATGCGCCGGCATGCTGGTGCCTCCTCCCGCATGCGCCCTCTGCTGCCAAATCTGCCGCCTACCGTTAGTTCACGGAACCTGCAGAAGAAAGACCTGGTACGTACCGCATATGCATCTTACGCTTCCGGTCCGGTGGCTCGCCTGAGTATGTGTCCACCGTCGCGTGCCCGGAACCTGCGCACACGTTCTGGCCCAGCGCTTGCGCTCCGAATGGGAGACCCCTCCGTAATCGAGTGCTCGTGCCACCGCGGCACGCGGCACGCTCACGAGCGTCTTCTACCGACTCACGAGCGCGCGGGTGGTCGGAGAACGAGGTGGGAGACTTCTCTTATGCCAAGTATGCATCCAGGGGATCTGGGATGTGATTGTTGGTGCGGGCATACCGCAAAATTAGCTGACAGGGCCTAAGATTTGAAAAGGTAATGTTCTTACCTTCAAAGCATTCCCGGGAGTCTTGCAGACCTGTGCCGGGTACATTGTGTATGCGTAAGGACGTGTTTCGCGTGCAGGACGCCATTCGGGACTCGTAACTGCGCACTGATGACTGCTGAGGACGTGCGGATAGAACATCGTGAGTTAGCCTTGCCGACTACATATAGCGCAGCACGAATCTCTTACCTCGACGTCAGCTGGAAAGCCTTTCGCGCGAATGGCAGCGTGCAGGCTCCGGTCAAGCGACGATGGGCGTCGCTCGACAGATCTGGGAGACGCCGGGAGACTCGGCGCGCTCATCCGGATACGGGCGCTTATTGCGACGGAAGGCCAAGTCTCGCGCCGCCGCCTTGCTCTGTGCCATGACCTTTGATCCTTCTCGCTCTGGGGATGCCGCGAGACGCTAGGATGCCCTCCCGACCTTATGCGCGCTCCCCTGCCGATGTTTCCGCCGTCTGCCAACCTGCGCAAGTCAATGTCAAGATGCCGCACGAGAAACGCACGGTGCGTACCTCCGCTGCTCTGCATGTGCACACGCCCGCGCGACCCAACCACGCCTTTGTATATGCGTGGCTGGGATGCGAGCGCATGTTCGCAGTCGTGCGCACTAAGAAACGGGACTATCTGCACTTCGCATTGCCGTCTTGCGAGGGCGCGCGCCAACGTGCAGCACGCACCAAAAATCAGTATCACCTTCTGGTGCGGGAGTATGCTATCTGGGCACCCTGGATTAGCTCTCGAGCACTGGCACTCGGAATGTAAGCTTCTTGCCTTTTCGGTACGTCCGAACCAGGTCGAGTACCCGTCCACGACGTCCCGGGCCTCGCGCTGCGGAAGCACTAAACCTCGCGAGCTCATCCCTCCCGCCTACGCCGGCCAAGACAAAATGTTGCACGATGGAGCACATGGCGGCTCGGATTGACGCGTCTGGGGATGCGCACGGAATTGTGCGAGCCACGCAGGAGTTCTCTGCCCCGCGCTCGGTGTCGAATCGAGCCTTGGGGTGGCGCATAGCACGAGGTAACACTGTATGACACGCGCGCCGAAATCCGTGCACATCGTCGGGTCGAGACAGTGGTAAAGACGACCATCGCCTGGCTGGGAAGTCGCGTCGACGGTCGAAGTGAGGACAACTTGAACGTGGGAACACTGATAAGGCGGCGTGCGGACGACGCGAGATGGGCACATGCTTGCCGAGGAAGATGTGGGCGGGTTGGTGGTTGTCGCGAGCTTCTTGCAAGTCTGGGACTGAGCGGCGGATATTGCAACGGTCACGCCTCGGAGCTCCCGCCACTGTCTACGGGGGCGTGATGGGTTTCGGAGGGCGCAAGGAGGCGTCATTGATGGCTTGCAGTGGGGCAGCGGTACAATACGAGGCATGCAATCTTGCCGACCCGAATCGTCGTCCTCGGTGCATGTCCGAAACAGTTGCGGGAGATGTTTGAGAGTGTCGAGTGTTTGCGGAGTGGGTACACAGATAATCAGCTGCGTATGAGCATCAGTGGACTTTCAGGAATGCTTAGAACACGACATACCTCTGCGCAAAGTCGAGCGACAAAGTTGATGCACCACGTTCAGCCAGCTCGTGCGGTTGCGTGAGTCTGTGTAAGATACGATAGGGCCACAGCGGTCTCCCACGAGAACACATCCCCCGCGCATTTCCAAGCACTGTATACGTGTTTGCGCGAGGGGTCCTGTCGTTGGTAAACTCCGTAGCTATCAGCAACTAACACGGATAGCTTGGCAGATGAGGTACTCACACGATGCACCTCATTCGTCGTTGCGAGAGGCGGTACACCGCCGCCGGTCTTGAGTGCATGCGGTGCCATTGCACCAGACCACACTCGGAAGGTGTGCTCGCCATTGCCTCTGGTCTACCCCAGCACTGACCATGCCTTCGAAGGTCCCTCATGACGGCGACCACCATGTCGGCTTGGTAAGCGGCGGGTGGGGTCGTCCGGGACGGGCATGGCGTCGGGAGCGAACAGCAGTGTAGCGGGACGGTGGAGGAGTGGGGGCGAGGGCGAGGAGTGGGAGGTAGGCTGGAGGATGAGGAGGGAGTCAGAGTCGAGGCAAAGTCGGCCTGCTGGGGAGGCCGCGCCCACACACTGGCATGCGACCCTACAGGTACATACGCGGCCACAACAGAATAGTGTGTGCTGCGTATCCATCCGGTGCTGTGCCGCGTGCACAACGGGGCAACGTCTGTGGGAGGATGATGGACAGCGGCTGTTTCGGGGGTACGTTGCTGCTCATTCTGGAATCTGGACTCATGCATAGCCACTCGCTTGTAGTATCTTACATTCTACCTCATAGTAGACCAATCATAGCGTCGTTCTGCTTGGTGTGGCGTGATCAGAAAGCGAAATTGATGTTCTGAGTGTCTGGTGCAAGATATTCTCAATCCTTTGATGCTGATGAAACCCACCTCGTTTTGAGGGATGCTCATGGCCACATCCAGTCCAGGCTAGGCTGTACGGAATGCAGCAACGGTGACTCAATGTGCCAAGACTGATTTCGAACTGGTGGAGGCAGGAATCTCAGTGTGTACTACAGTGCATTGCACACACTACTAAGTATTCCTGTGCTCCTCCAGTTCTGCCTTCCAAATACTGTACAGTTCACATTATGTATAATCAACACAAGTCTAAATTGCTCTCTGTCAAGCAGAACCTCAGGTATACCAAGGTTTAGACATGGTTCATAGATCTCAGATGTCGAGGCACCATTTCAGTCCAAGATCTGGCCGCCGGCGCCGCAGCTTTCGCTTGGGTAGACAGTACTGGGAGCCGGGGTTCGCGGGGATGTTGCCCGCGTAATGGGCCTGGTCGCGAAGCTGATAAGTACGCCAGAAAACGGCCACAGGCGATCGTCGTACAATATTGTTTAGTTTGATGCGAGCGTGGTGACAGCGCAAAACGCGAGTGTGTGAGCGAGCATCCTGAGATTCCGGGGTATCGGCAGTTACCTATTGCGGTAAGAAGGGTTGAGCCGCGCCCACCTTCGCCCCGACATGCGCCGCGTTCACTTCCTCCCGGCCATTTCTTCACTACACGAACTTTGTCCTAATCCAGGGTGTGTATTTGAGATTATCATATAGAGGTATTTGGGATGGTGGCAGAAAGGGCAAGGTCTTGACCATACGATTGCACACTCCGAGGCGACATCCGATCAAGGAACCACCTCGCCTGAGAAGCATATCGCAGTCGCCACTGTCACCGCCGCCGCCTCGACGAACCTAGAAACAACTGCGCTGAATAATTTCGTACCTCCCCGCAACGGTGGTGCACATGCCCTCCCGCTCCATGATATCTTGCATAGAGGAGAGCGCCCACTTTGTGAAGCGAGCGCGCCCGATGTTCAACCCACTCTAGTGCGCATCCAGACCACACCAGGAAAGGTGCCACGCCGCGTATACACTCCCGTGATGCCGCCACGCACATTATCCCGCTCACCCCATTTCTGTCGGCTCGTCGTGTTGTGCTGTGGTTGGTGCACCAGGCGGTGGGCTCGGCACATGCCTCCGCTCCTCTCGTAATGTCCGCGTACCGCATCCGCAACCCGCTGATTCCGTAGCACGGCGGATGACTAGACTCGAGTGTACGGCCACCGCACGGACCATGGTGCGACGCGGTCGAACGGGACGGCCCTAAAGCACAGAGGGTATAAGTACATGGACGGGATCATTCTCGGGCGCGACGCAGACGTGCTGATCACCCGCCTCTCCCCCTCTTCTGCCCCCACGTACAGCACCTACTTCGCGCTGCAGGTACGTAAGCACAATGTCTGTCATACTGCGGGGCTTACCTGTTAGTCTCAGCCTGCACGTCGAGGAAGCGGGGAGAGCGTGAATCGCTGGATATGGTGTGCGTGTGCATCGGTCGATAACTCGAGCCTTGATATCTGACACTTGCGCACAGAGTCTGTCCCTGTGCGATGCATCCCTGCTGCGCTGTGTGAGTCAATCCCCACGCGTCGTACTCTCCCGCAACTGATCAAAACCATTGCTCGTAGCACGTCGCAGATATTGCCTCACAAAACAAACACTCACTATCACACCCGGTCGCGCCTTCACCCGCAGCGAGGACAACACACCGGCTTTGTGCGCGTGGAGATAGTCATCGTTTGCACGACGTGAGTGGACTTCACTTGTCTTCTACTTCATTCACTTGTTTCTAGGGCGCCGCAGCCACCAGCTCCTCTTGACGCACGTACTGGCCGTTGCAACACCTCGACATCTATCTGGGCCAGAGCCTGTGGTCAATGCGGGTGAGTACGGCATCCATCATCGTAACGAACGAGATCACTACTGACCTTGCTTAATGCATCTAGCACGGCGTCGCGAGGGCGCTGCGCTCGTCTCCGGGCGGTCCGCGTGAGGTACTGGACGCGAGATGTTAGCACGACAGCGCGTCACGATTTACGGTACGCACAATACAGTACGGTACGCGCCACGTCTAAAGCCGCACGCGCTGTCGTCTCAGCATGATCTGACGCACTCATACGCTGGCGTCCCGCGAGGGGTCGGCGCTGGGAGTGTGCGCGCGCGTTTTCGAGGAGCGGCACCTTCCAACGGCGCCATGGCCAACAGCCGTAAGTACCCTCATTCAGGTGTGCTTCGGCGCGGTATACGAGAGGCTTGACGAGTGTACAAGACAGTTCTTGGAGGCGGCCCTATCTGTGGTGAGTCAGCTCGTCGTCCCATACAGCGAGCAAGCAGTATCCGCTTACGTTGACAGGCCCCTCTGGCTCGCCACCCGTGGCGCACGCGTTTCCGGCCTTCAGCCAAGTGTCTGGTACACACAGGTGAGTGAACCGCAAGCTGCGCAGTGTCGAAACTGCTTACCTGACACTACTGCCGCGCAGGTACGAGTCGGGACGGATTACTGGCGCAGACGATGGGCGTGCCGTCTCGGCGGCATCCAAGTGTACGGGATAGGATGGGGATGGGCGCGGGGGTACGAGAACAGGGTGTATTACGAGATTCGTAGTTAGGTACACTTCGGGGCCCGGGACGACCGTATCCCGCTCTCCCTCGTCTCATCCCCGGCTCCTTCAGCGCAGGGGGTAGCCCGCAGAAGATGCGAGAGGAGGAGCGGGGAACGAGCTGAGGGGCGGCGGGGATGGCCGTGCCGGGCGCCGTCTCGTCTGCCGGGTGCTCTCACCCGACGGTCGCCGTCCATTACGCCCGCGAGCCTGTCGTGGGCGAGAGCGCGCGGCCCCGGTGCGCCTGAACAGGCAGGAGGCGCGCGGTGCGCTGTGTGCGAGGTGAGTATCAGCGTACACGCGGTGAGGGATGGCGACCGCGTACCTCGCGCCATCGTCGAGCCCGCACCCCTCGCCGAGCCGTTCTGCGACCGTCTACGCTGTAGAAATGCCGGCCCGAGGTACGTATGCGCTTCCATTCGCCCATAGCGCTCAGCGGTCGCCTCCGCCGGCGTCCCCGCCAGCTCGGTGCGACGCTCCCTCCCGCCCGGCCGCAGCCTGTCACGAACGTAGGACTCCTTGCCCCCGCCCAACTGCGCTGGGGGACGACGCGAGATGCATCCGGGAGGCTCTGTGCCGAACCGCGGTGGGGACGGCGTTGTGGTCGGCCGGGGACGCGCCGATCTCTGTTTTCGTCCCGCTCGCGCCCATGAAACCGCTCGGAACTGACAGATTTTTTTTCCGTGTATCGCTCTGTAACTCGCTGGGGACGTCCTCCCTGGTGCATGGGAGCGCGCCGTGCGCTTTTCGTGCGGCCTGGACGCGATGCCGGCGCGCGAGCGGGCGGCAAGTGACGGGGGCGAGCCGGCCGCGGACCTCGTCGAGGCCGTCCAGCGCGCGTTCGCGCCATTTTCACAGCGGGAGTAGTGTCCGTGGTACGTAAAGACCCGTTTCCAACAACAACCCGGGCCCTCGCCCGCTAGATAGCGCGGTATGGTGATGCGCCCATCGACGCGCCGTCTCGTTCCCCGCCGCGCGGCGCACATGTCGAACTGGCCGTACGCGCCCGCGCGCAGTAGCACAGGACGTGGAGGGTGCACAGGCTTGCGTCTGCGTAGTTTGGAGGTCAGGCGACGCGATGCGCGGCCGGGGCGCGGATTTTGCTGACCACATCGGGATGTTGCACATGAAATCGCGCCGAAATGACATTTTTTTGACCTGCCCGGATCGCCCTGAAACGGCGTGTGCGGATGCGTCCTGAACAGTGCGAGCGCTCGGTCGAAGTAGGAAGCCGGGGGACGCAATGCGGGAGCGCAAGAGGCGCGGCGAGCGGGCGGGGAGGCCGGAGTTGCCGGCGGCGTGAGGGGCGCAAAACGTGCGCCGCGCGGCCGAGCGCGCGGGCTGCGTGTCGAGTGAGTGGGGACTACGCGTATTGAGCGGTTGGACGCCGGGGCACGGCCTGGGGGATGATGGGCGCGGACTTGGCCTGAGCTGCCGAGAGCCGAAGCGGGCCGTTTTCGCGGGAGGCCGTTGCGCCCATAGCACCGCGACGCAGACGGTGGAAAGAGGTCATACGATCATGCTGAGGGTATCTGCCGGCCTCAATAAACGAAGTCGAGTCGGTTCTGCGGTTTTTTGTATTGAGGCGATCTGAAAATACGACTTCGTCAACGCCATTCGCACCAGAACCGGCTAGAAACGCACCGAGTACGAGAGCGATATGGTACACACCGAGTAGCATACATCCGCAGGGAGGAGATAGAGGCAGCGGGGTGGCACGGGCGGGCGAGGTCGGTTTGGGCGAGTTCGCTGATCGGACCGCATTGCTCGCGGAGAACGCGTGCGGCGTCCTCGCGCGTCTCATAGCGTCTTTGCGCACGTCTAATACGCATATACGCAGCTCGCCGAGCGGGGGCGTCGGAGGGCTCGGGTGGTGGGCGTCGTTGCTGTGGGCACGGCTCGCCCGCGTTGCCGACGCCGCCGACGCCGCAGTTCCGCGTTGCCCCACAAGCGGCGTCGTGGGCCCGCACTCACGGTATATGCGCGCATTGCGCACGATATACACAGGGTGCACCGTCTGCCGGGGCACGGGCATCTGCGATTTCGTGCGCGGGCGGACTATAAAGAGAATATTGTCAGCGCAATTCGCATGCAGGGAGCTTGCGCACGCACGCAAAGGGTGCACAGAGTCGACTTGACGATTAAATGGACTAGTCAGGCGGGCCAGACAAATGGAGGTGGTGTGGCAGGCGTCGGAGGGCTGTGGGGCGGCTCCCAGCGTGCGGCGGGGGTCGCACACGGAGGATGTCGAGGGCGGCCAAGCGCGTGTAACTGCGTCGTCTGACAGATATAACATACACTCTCCGATGTTTTTAGGCGGGGGTGTTGAGATTTGCTCGTGGTGGACGCGGATGTTGACTGTGCAAGGCATGCGCTAGTGCCAACGACGTCACCGCCGCAATTTTGCTCGGCGCCACAAATGGCGTCGTGGGTCTTCGAAGTCGATGTATGCGCGTATTCTGTACGCTTCGCGGAGGGTGTGCGGCACGAGGGGCCGCCGATATATGCGAAATGACGTGCCGCCGCCCTATGATCGAGACGCTGTCAGTGCCATTCGCATCGGCAGGGTGTGAAAACACACACGAATAGCGGCGAAGGCAGCTTCTACAACGCCGTCAACAGTGCACACGCGCTCGTGGAGGGGGCGTAGCCATGGAGACGGCGGAGGGGCAAATGAAAGCGCTGGGGTCCGCCGGGCATGGCACACGAAGGACGCGAAGGGCGTCTTAGCGGATGAAAGGGAGCACTTGTTCGGGTCAGACGAGTGCCCACAGAGCGTGAGGAGCGTGGGCGTCGATATTTACGGTTGGAACATCGAGATGTGTCGGTGCGAGCGAGCCGGGGCATGTAGGTGTTGCCAGTGGCGCTAGTTCGTCGAGAGGCCGCGAATGCTGTCATCTGCACGTCGAGACTGCACGGACGCGCATCTCCATATCGTGCGCGTAGGCGTCATGCGCGATGGGAGATGGGTGCTGGCGATTTACAGGGCGGCTGGACTGTTAATTAGTCGTTGTCAGTGCGCATCGCATGCGGAAAAGCTGGAAACATACCGAAATGGGTCACGATGTTCCCTCTACCGCGCGGTGCGTGATTCGTGCGCGCCGGGCGAGATGGGACAGCGCGAGGGACGGCGGAGGCGCGGAGAGGGCGCAGGTCACAGCGCGCGAAGGACGTCAGCGGCGCCTTCGCGGTCTCTCAAACGTGTTCGCGGAGAGTCCCCGGGTCGATTGGCGAGTGTCCCGGGAGGGGCACTGTGAGTGCCAGTGTCGGGCGTCGTGCGAAGGCGCAGGGGCAGGGAGGCTCCGAGCGACGGAGGCGACGTCCGTACTGTCTGGTATTCAAACTACAGCTCGTACATATGTACTAGATCGATTCTGAGTGCTACAGAGGGGCGCAGACGAGTAAGCCGACTGCGCAGATCAGCCAAACTGCCCACGGAGATCAAGCATACAGAGCTTACCGCGAGCGGGGCTTGGCTGTAAAGCCGAGGGCGGGTGAGTACAGTAAATGCCGTCCATCGTAGACAGTCCCCGCGCAGCGAAGGGGACGAGGGCGGACGGGACGGGAGCGAGGACGGGCAGCGAGCGCAGGCCAGCGGCAGGCGCGGGGCACAAAGGAGACGGATTCGCAGGCCTAGCAAGGACGGGCCTCCAGCCAAAACACGTCCTGGCAGAGACGCGCCGCTGAGAGCTGCACAGAACGTCGATCGAAGCAGGCGGCAGGATGGCATGAGACGACGCCGCCTGGCCGTGATTGCCGTATATGGATGGCGCCTAAGCGCGGGAAGAGCCGCCCAGTAGCCCGACGTCCGACCCCAACCTCTTCGTCCTGCTCTCACTTTCTCTCCCCCACCACCTTCATTCTGTACTATCGTCGCTCGCTGGTCGTCATGGATGGCCAGCTGAAGCCCAAGGTCCGCCTTGCCGCACGTCCAGAGCGGCTATGGGGATGCTGAGATCACCTTCCAGGTCACCGCCAGGATGGGTTATGAACGACCTCGTCCGGCATCCCCATTCAAGCCTCCAGCGACGTCCTTGTCGCCCCCACCAGTCCGTCCCAAGGCGAAGGTGAACAGCAGTGCGAACATAACGACCCGCAAGCCGCCCACCGTCGTCTCGCCTCCACCGTCTGCGCGGGGTGTACATAGCGCGTTCCCTTCACGCGCTCCCTCTCCGTTCAAGCCTACGCAAACGCGTACACAGAACACACCGCCAGCAGGAACTGCGGCGAAGGCACGGCTGGGTGCGCGTATCAACGGTGGAAACTCAACGTCACCCCTCCCGGAGCACCGGCAGCGTGCACTCACATCAGCCACCCCCGAGGCGTCATCCTTCGTTCGGACACGGAGAGGAAGCACGTCTTCTCATGTCTTGTCGTCACCCTCGCACACCGAGTTGAGTACCGCTTCATCGCCTGCGAGGTCTGCGCTCTCGTTGCAGATCGACGAGACCTCGTCCACCGCATCATCGGCTCCGAGGTCTCCTGCAGGGGCGAACATACGAGTGAGGGCGAAGTTATCGAGGGTGGCCGACCCCGGTGTCCACAGCCCACCATCACTCACGACCGCCGCGCAACATGTTAATAGGCCTGCCCGCGTCCCGTCGATATCCAACCTCAGCCTCTCACCGCCGCTGATGCCAAGCAGCGCAAACCACAGCCCGTCGTCCACTGCGTCTTCTCCATCTGGTATTCAGTCCGGTCAGGCGCGTTTCGCAACGACGAGGCCGCATTCGTACCAACCACCCAAGTCGTATCAAGCATTCGTGCCCAACGATGATCTCGCCGTTCGTTATGGCGCTGGGCACTCCGCGGCAACTAAGGTGGCCAAGGTTGATCCTACCACCATCCCTCTTCCTCTGCACTCTCCGCCGACATCTACGGTATCTTTTTCCTCGCGATCGTCAGCGTCACGTTCGTCGGCGTCGTACGAAACCCAAGAGTCGGGCGGCAGTCGGAGCACAGCACCGACATTGCACTCGCACGTCAATGGCCAGAGCCACGGGCGGCAGGGGAGCAGATCGTCCCAGCCTCGGGCCAGCCTTGATGGACTCGGCTTCCGCGGCGACCCTG